AAAAAATTATAAGGTAGTTGATATCTTTCCCATTTTACAAATGAAGAAATTGAGGTTTAGAAAGACTGAAACCTTGGCCAAGCTTCCACATTGGGGAATCTCATTAGGAATGGAATCCAGGTAGAATAAAGCCAGAGTTGATGTCTTCACGGCTGTGCTATCATCTCTGCCTGCCTTAGGTTCCAGAACATTCTTCTCTTACTTTTTCAGAAAGCTACCTACTTATTACTCTCTTGGAGTACCATAAGAAAAACCATCTGATTTATACAAGGAGAATTTTTTATTCATGAATAATTTATTGTTCTGTTTTCAGGATGAAGTGTTGGCACCCTAAACATTATGATCCTTTTTGTTTTGTGACTGTGGTCTATTGATGGTTCACTGTTTTGTAGTACTATGCATTTTAAACACTTCCATATATACAAATAAATTTATAAATATTTATGTATGTGAATATTTTTATTTAAAAGATGACTTAAAATTATATCGAGTATTAGAGAACAAAAATAAATGATATGCATGTATTCATATTTATTTTCTCTTTTATAGTAACTACAATTATTTGGGACCATTGCACTATATGCTTTATGAAAACTGGGGATTAATAGGGAAATTTTCTATCTATTTTATGGATTTCCAATGTACTTCTTAAAAAAAGTAATATTGTAAGTGGGGAAGTAAAATGTAATAATTTCCCCAGATCCATTGATAAATCTATTTTTGATAAGTATATTTATCATTTGAAATATTGTTCTTTTAGTGGTGATTGATTTGAGTCAAATTTATATCTACCTTGGAAGAGATAGTTTTAGTTTTCTTGCTTAAACTAACACCTCAATGTATATTTATTAAATAACTACTTTATGGAATGCACTATGCTAATCACCAAAAGACATGAAAGAAATGTTTAACTATCACATTATCCTTTTTAAGAACTTAAATTCTAAAATGAGGGAAAACTTTGGAAAAATAAGTACAGTATTATCTTAGACATTTTATGTACCAGGGAGAGAAAACAACAGGATATTGGAATTGAGAGGACTCACATTCATCATATGCTCTGTAAGGGGAGGAAAAGCTTCCTAAAGATTGCCTCATATAAAATTATTTTGAAGATCAGTAGCATTTCAACAATAGAAATGAGGGAAAGATAGGAAAGTCGGGGAATCTGGAGCCCTGAAACACTTACCTGCCTTCACCCTGGCTCTTCTAGCTCCTTGCTATGAGATGTAAATAAAAAATAAATAAATAAAATGAAACAAAACAAATTAATACATCCTTACCTCCTATTAGAAGCCAGAACTCATGATTCCTTAATAAAAAGGAAAGATGCATGAGGCCATAATTTTGCAATCTTGGTGGAAGACCAGGAGCCTAGACATTTTTGAAAAGAGGTTTGTGCCCTCTGAGGCACCTGTGGCAAGTACTACTGATCCCATAGTTGTGAGCAACCCAGGTAGATCCCCAGGGAGAGTGCTGGACTGTCCTTTTACAGCACTAGGAAATTCCAACTGAGGTTGTTTCACCAGAGAGAGATGAGTCTTCGGGTTGAGAATAGAAAGCTTAAAGTGCACCTGGGATGAAGAAATCTTCTACTGTGTGTGTGTGTATGTGTGTGTGTGTGTAAGTGTGTGTGACTGAAGTTAAATATTTCATAGAATGGTTGGAAGAAGAACTTTAAGAATTCTCTCTAGGTAAAATAAAAAGGATGAGAGGTATCATATAGGACAAAAGATTAACATACCAATGTAGAAGATTCAGTCTTACTAGTACCCTGACTTATTGTGCCGTTTTCTTTGTGTAGGTATAGACTTTGTAATACTTATGTCTGATTCCCTGGTTTTCCTTTTTGTTTTTATAGTTTTATTACTAAACTTCTAGCTCTTAGAGCAATACTTAGCATATAGTAGGCACTCAACAAATGTTTATTGAATGAATGAACATAAACTGAACCTGATTCCAAGTCCCTATTCCAAATTATCAATAAGGAAGGAGGCCTAACTCTTGAAGGGGAGAAGACAAATGGTAAGACATCTCTCAGACGTGAAGAATACAAACCTCTAAATTGAAAGAGCATATTGAGTATTCAGCATAAAGAATGAAAAAGAGTCACACATAGGCATGGCATTGTGAAATTTCAGAACATCATACATGATGGAGCGTTATTCTGTCATAAAGAAAGAAATTCTGTCATTTGCAGCAAAATGGATGGAACTAGAGGACATTATGCTAAATGAAAAGAGCCAGACACAGAAAAACAAGTACTGTGCTCTCTCTCCTATATGGAAGCTGAAATAAGTCTACTTGAATATAGCATAGTTATTAATAGTGGCTGAAAATATTAAAATAACTAGAAAATTCATAAATGTTTGGAATAATTGTGAAACTTTGACTAGGGACTTCACAGTATTATGTAATTATTATGATTTAGAAGCAGTAATGCTATAAATATTATATCACTTTATAAATATTATCATATTTTTATTTAAAAATAAGAATGCCCTATGTTTAGGAGATGCAAACTGAAATATTTAGAAATGTAACAAAATATCAAGAATTAATGAATCCAGAAGGATAAATCAATTTCCATTATACTCTTGTTAAACTTTTCTGTACCATTGGAATTTTTCACCTAGAAAATTAAAAAAAAAAAGCTGGGGTGGGGAGGAGAAATAGTATAAAGATAAACAAGAGGAAAACGGAGAAAATCAAAATATTTCTCGCCAATATACCTCTTAATAGAGGTTTCCCAAAAAGATGCTTCAGCGAGAAATGAGAACAAGGAAAAGAGATCTTAGGAAAATCCCTCTACCTAGAAATTCATCAATCTGGACCACAGTGTAACTATTCTATTCTTTGGGAGGTAGTCTCCATGTAACCTACAAAGAAGTGATAGATTATCTGACATTTTTGAATATTTAGAAATAATATCTTTTGTTTGTTTCTGTTTTTATTTTCATATTAGGAATTTAACCTAGGGACACTTTGCTACTGAGGTATAAACCCAATCCTTTTTTTAAATTTTATTCTGAGACAGAGTCTCACTAAGCTCCTGAGGATCTCACTAAGTTGCTGAGGCTTGCCTGAAATTTGCCATCCCCTTTGCCTCAGCCCCTCTGCCTCAGCCCCTCTGCCTCAGCCCCTCAAGTGACGGGGATTACAGGAATGTGCAACTGAGATGGGCAAAATATTGCCAACTTAATATGACTTTGGGGACAGTTAAAAGATAAATGATTCTAAATATGTCAACAACCAAGAAAATAATAAAATGAGCAACTACTAAATTTGAAAGAACTGAAAACACATATAATACAATTAAAATTATATTAATCAATTTTGATCATTAATGCATATTGTATATTATTACTTAACAAAAAAGATGTTGACTATTTAACAGCAATTATGATCAAAGGAAGACAGAAATGGAGAGAAATATGAAGAGGATTCTATGATAGAACTAAAACTGAACAACCTGAGTGGCAGGTCAATTAAAAAAAAAGACACTAAAATTCATAAATCAAGCAACACTAGCTATGTTGCTTAATCACAAATAAATACTAAATTAATAAATAAAACTACTAAAAGAAAACTGGTTGTTGAAGAATAAGAAAAATAGCTACTATTTTTTCAATATTAAATAATTGGTTTGTAAATCTTTTATAGATTATGTAATGCTTTCTACTTATCAAATATCTCTTAAAATACTATTCTAAAGGCAATGTTAGAATGCTTAAATATTTTTCAATTCAATAGGAACCACGTTAGAAGGTTCAAAGATCAAATGGGGAAATTACCCCATATCCCAGAGCACAAATATGATGAAATGGAAATTACAAATAGAAAAACAAAAGACTGGAAGTCAGATTTAAAAGATCTCATGTGTAAATAGTAGCATTATATAAAGGGCAAACCATATGGAAAAGAATAAATAAAGAAATAAAATTTTAAAATTTCTTTAAAATAATAAAAATTAGTCTTCAAATTAAATTTGTTCAAAAGCTTTGGTTCACACGGATATTGAAATTTTTTCATCTTGACAGTTTGTTTCAATTTCTATCACAGAACAAAAAGAGAGATTCCTAAGCTTCCAGACTGAAACGGAGATATGAAATGGTATGGTAGGGTGGAAATACATTCCAGGGAAAGAAATGTACCAGAAAAGATCCAGAGGCAGAAAAGCTGAAGATTTTTTTCCAGAACTAGGGAGTAATCAAGATGGATGGCTAGGGTTTAAAGTCAATGACCACAAAGGGAAATAAAACTAAATCACTCACAGAGTGATTGATAACTGGGAGTGTATAATTGCTAGCTTGCTTGCACATTCTGCAATGACAAATCTGCATTCACTTTATCAGCATAATTTAGTCAGGTAACCAAACTCACCATCCAGCATTATTTTATTTATGAGTTTTTTTTTAAAACATAAAATTTGTGCAACAAATAAAAGATCTTCATATCACTCCAGGTTCTTTTCCTCTTTCTTCCTTTCTTTTATTCATTTTTGAATAATGAGTCCACCCTTTTTACTGAAAGTTAACTACAAATTAAGGATCTGGTTCTTTATATTTTCTGTCTTAATTATGATTATTATTAGGAGAAAAGCAAAGAAACCTCCCAGTGGGTTGCAACAAATACGTTAGCACCACTATCAGGCAATCACATAGATTGTTACTTTCTACCCATAATATTTTCAGAAGAAAAGTTATTTTGAATTTCTTCAATGGTCTTCATTAGTATTAATCAAAACTCTAAGGAAATCTTAGAGGGGATATTTCTACTTCTCTGATATGTTCAGCTTAATTAAAGAACATTAATATTTGACCCATGTAATATTATTCAAGGTTATGTGGGAATTGTTAATCAAGTAAAATGTGATGTGTGGTTACTAACCAAGCATAAAAACTAACCCAAGGTCACTTTGCATAAAATCCTATTAGCCAAAAGTAGATCCACGTTTTCAATTTGATTGCTAATAGGTATTTGTACCCCTTTCCTTCTAGGGGTATGATGATGGCTATGGGGGTGAATACGATGACCAGACCTATGAGGCTTATGATAACAGCTATGCCACTCAAACGCAAAGGTAAGGCATTCGCTGTCTAAATTACCACCCTTCTCAGGACTGTCTCTGATCCTACTACATTATTTCTTGAATCTGAATATGTTATATGAGCCTTTCAAGCAGTTGCTTTTCCTCTATTATCTTTCTATGTTGTTAAGTTGCTTACTAGACTGTGAGAGGTTAAAAAAAAACAATAATCTTACAACTACAGGCAATGAAATAGTAGTGTGTTATTTTAAGACTAGATGATTATCAGAACCAATTAATTCATTAAACAAGCCAGTATTTAACTAAATACTGTTTTTGTAGAGATTATGTTAGTGAACTTATAATTAAAATAACAAGGCACTTGTTCAGTGTGGCTTTTTTCCTCAAGTGCCATTTTCATTTGTAAAACAAAAGATAAGGAAATGTTATCTGTATTCTCAAAAGGGGAAAAAATCTTAAAATATTAAATGAATGAAATAAAAGAAAAAAACCTCTTTCATCATAGATCGCTAATGATCACTGAATATATCTCTTTAGATTAACCAAAATTTGTGTTATCAATGAATTTTTATTTCTTACAATCAAATTCATTAAGGTATTATTAATATACAATAAAATTTACCCATATAGGGTATAGTTGTACAAGTTTGGCAAATGCAAACTACAGTATAATGACCACCAAAATTAAAACAGAGCATTTTCATCACCTTACGTTCCTTTATGAGATTGTATAACCAACTTCTCCCACATGCCTGGGTCCTGGAAGCAATAATGTGTTTTTTGTCACCATAGTTTTGCCCTTTCTAGGAAGTCATATAAGTAGAAGTAATTTGATATCCTTTTGAGTCTGGCTTCTTTATTTACCATAGTGCATTTGGTTTTTATTCATGTTGTATCAATATTTTACTCCTGTTTATTGCTGTACATTGTTTGTATTAGAGAAATCACAGTTTGTTTCTTCATTCACCAGTTAAAGGACATTTGAGTCATTTCTATTTGGGGGCAATTATTAATAAAATAAATATAGAACAAATGTAATTTTAGAAAATTCAATTACCAAAGTATTTTTCCTTAAAAAAATATGTGTCATAGCAAAGGGGTCATGTGATACTTAAGAGATTCTCTTCGTATCTGAGAGAAGCCAAGAGAACCAGTTGTTGCAAAATCTTTATGACATTAATCATTTGTCAACCAAGGTTGTTGGCAGTGAGACTTGAGTAGTAAGTCTCCTTGAGGACTTGCTAAGTAACATTTGGGTGTGGGAAGTTGACAAAGAAACAATGTTAAGGTTGTCCTGGTGTGGAAGTAATCTAGATTTACAGCAGAAGTTTGAATTTTGCGTGGCCTAAGGGATAGCATAGTGAAGGAGGTGGAGGGAAATTCTACTTAGAATATTGTGGGCAGTTAGGAATAGGATGAGTGTGAACAGATCTTGAAAGCCAAGTCTGAGTTAACAGCATGGTACTGGTACCAAAACAGGCAGGTGGACCAATGGTACAGAATAGAGGACACAGAAACCAATCCACAAAACTACAACTATCTTATATTTGATAAAGGGGCTAAAAGCATGCAATGGAGGAAGGATAGCATCTTCAACAAATGGTGCTGGGAAAACTGGAAATCCATATGCAACAAAATGAAACTGAATCCCTTTCTCTCGCCATGCACAAAAGTGAATTCAAAATGGATCAAGGAGCTTGATATCAAATCAGAGACGCACCGTCTGATAGAAGAAAAAGTTGGCAACGATCTACAGTCGGTGGGGTCGGGCTCCAAATTCCTCAATAGGACACCCATAGCACAAAAGTTAATAACTAGAATCAACAAATGGGACTTACTCAAACTAAAAAGTTTTTTCTCAGCAAAAGAAACAATAAGAGAGGTAAATAGGGAGCCTACACCCTGGGAACAAATCTTTACTCCTCACACTTCAGATAGAGCCCTAATATCCAGAGTATACAAAGAACTCAAAAAATTAGACAATAAGAGAACAAACAACCCAATCAACAAATGGGCCAAGGACCTGAACAGACACTTCTCAGAGGAGGACATACAGTCAATCAACAAGTACATGAAAAAATGCTCAACATCTCTAGCTGTCAGAGAAATGCAAATCAAAACCACCCTAAGATACCATCTCACTCCAGTAAGATTGGCAGCCATTAGGAAGTCAAACAACAACAAGTGCTGGCGAGGATGTGGGGAAAAGGGTACACTTGTACATTGCTGGTGGGACTGCAGATTGGTGCAGCCAATTTGGAAAGCAGTATGGAGATTTCTTGGAAAGCTGGGAATGGAGCCATCATTTGACCCAGCTATTCCCCTTCTTGGTCTATTCCCTAAAGACCTAAAAAGAGCATGCTACAGGGACACTGCTACATCGATGTTCATAGCAGCACAGTTCACAATAGCAAGACTGTGGAACCAACCTAGATGCCCTTCAATAGATGAATGGATAAAAAAAATGTGGCATTTATACACAATGGAGTATTACTCTGCATTAAAAAATGACAAAATCATAGAATTTACAGGGAAATGGATGGCATTAGAGCAGATTATGCTAAGTGAAGCTAGCCAATCCCTAAAAAACAAATGCCAAATGTCTTCTTTGATATAAGGAAAGTAACTAAGAACAGAGTAGGGACGAAGAGCAGGAGAAGAAGATTAACATTTAACAGGGATGAGAGGTGGGAGGGAAAGGGAGAGAGAAGGGAAATTGCAAGGTAATGGAAGGAGACCCTCAGGGTTATACAGTGGAGGGGGTAGAGAGAGAGGAGGGGAGGGGAGGGGAGAGGTGGGGAGGGGGGAGGGTGGATGATGGGAAAGGCAGCGGAGCACAACAGACACTAGTATGGCAATTTGTAAATCAATGGATGTGTAACTGATGTGATTCTGCAATCTGTGTATGGGGTGAAGGTGGGAGTTCATAACCCACTTGAATCAAAGTGTGGAATATGATATGTCAAGAAATTTGTAATGTTTTGAACAACCCACAATAAAAAATTTAAAAAAAAAAAAAGATATCACTATGGAAATGGCCATCTTCAAACTGAGTAACTGGTTAATCTGTTACAGGTTTAAAGCCATCATGAGCCAAGTGTTTCTGCTATGGGTTATATATAATTGTTCCAATTACCTACTGGAACACAGCACAGTTATTTAGGATTTGGGAAACATTTGCATCACATCACAGATACTCAACAGAGTGTTATATGCAATTTGGATACACATTTAGAACATTTACTAATATTGTCAATCAAATTCATTGTTGCACATTATAATTCATAAAAATAGCTATACTATAAGGTTCTGTAACTTGTTTCAGAAACCCTTTGGTACAAAATATAGCAATACACTTCAAATATACCTAAAATAGATTAAAATAATTCCTTCATGTAGCTCTATAGAGAGCTACATTTAGATCAAAGAGATTTGGGGATAATTTGCTAAAAATGAAATGTTTTCTAGTTCTTTCTTATGGTGAGATTTAAATGGGTTTAACTGACCCAAAAGATAAGGAAGAAGAAAAATATAGGATTAGGATAACTTACCACTGAACATTTGAGAAGTATATACTAGAATTATTGAACTCGCTTTTGTATTAAAAAGTAATAGCAATACAGAATAATCTTGGGAAGAAAATTTTTATCTTATTTTAATGAAGTGTATTTTACATGTAAAAGGACATTTTATTTGCTTCTGCTATCTTATCTTTTCCCTTTTGTGTCTACTGAATTTTCTGTGGTGAAATTCTTACCATCCTTGAGAGTTAGCTCAAAAGCCAACTCTCCCAAAGAATCTTTCCTCAATCCTTTATTTGGTAATAACCTGTTTCTACCTTGAATTCCAATAGTACCACATCTTCACTTTCCAAAGCACTATCTTTGACTGCCTTACACTGGGATTACATGTGTTTATGTCCCTTATCACCTTTACTGCTTATAGAGAATCCATTTCTGATATGCCTTCATGTACTTCACAATACCAGGCTTTGGGTCTGTCATGTGGTATATAATGAATGGATGATTTGGGTCTGTTATGTGGTATATGCTGAATGTACATAAGTGTCAGGCCTAATATGTTCTACACTATGGGAATATAAAATAAGATCCTTATTCCTCAAAGAGAAAACCAAATTCAGTTAATGTATTATATTTAGTCAAATAGTACTATATTTTTGTCAAAATATGATGTGTTTCTCAGATAATAGTGTTAAACAGGAAGTGACAAAGAAATCATGTCGTGAAATTAATTGCAATGATATTAATGTCCTTGATTATAATAATTCTAAAATATCTATTTTTGTTCAAAATTATGTCCTCAATTCTAATATGGTATTTGGCACACTAGAAGTTCTTAATAAAAGCCTATAGAATAAATTGATAAAAAATAAATGAATTTATTAATGACTGAACTTTAGGAGTTAAGAATAATTTTAAAGTAACATTAATTTGTAATAGAAATGAGAAAACACTGTAGCTTTTATTATATAATTTATTAACTCCCTACCTTTAGATTATGTGTATTCGTGTAATGATGCCAGGAGTAGATAAGATTACAATTTAGTTACATAAGAACTTATTAAGCAATCATATGTGTCATATACCAACCATACAGTGACAATTCTTGGTCTTTATTTCAATATTTTTTAATATTCACTCTTACTAATTTGAGGAGTTGCTTGCAAATTGTGAATGTATTTGCATACACATACATGTGTTTATATATATGTTTAAATAAACAAAGTCAAACAATTATACAATAATCGAATGTTAGGAATTAAAAGTAAGAGAAAGTTAATTTTCTATAAGAATCTGTCTAGAATTTTTTTTCAAATGATGTTTCTTTAGTTGGTCTTTGAAATATAAGTTTGGAAATGTTTTCTAAATAAATACAATAAAGAGAAACATATGAGCATAAAATTATCTGTCATTTGTAAACAACATGAATATTATTTTGGCATATGATAGAAATATTTGACTTTATTGTGGTCAAAATCAGAAGAAATGCTGATTTAGAATCTTTAAAAAATA